CATCGTAAATTAATTAATTACTAGATTTCTACGAAAAATTTCTAAACTTTTATACTCGCGTTTTCATGTCGAATCTTTGGACAACTTTCTCGTATCGATTTAACGCGTGAAATTCTTTTCTAACCGTTATTTATTAACGATTAATGCGTCGTATCGTATGAATGACGCGTAACCGACGCGCGTTACATTTTTCGTTAATTTCTTATTGTTACGGATTTCATTTTTACACGCGAATACGTGCGTTTCAAACGTTATTTTCTTCTCTGATTTCACGTATAATTTTCGTCTACGAGTTTGTTGTCGTTCGAACGAATAAATCGATCGTTTGTTAATCGATCGCGAAACGAGAATTCGCGGATTGAAACACTCTCTACGTTAATCGTTATATAAATAATTAAATCGAGAGAATTTCACGTTGAAATCGTCACGAGAATATTGTCCGAGGTTTTAGCTTCGAGATGGAAGTCTAAATGTGCACAAATTTTCAATGGAAATTTGATAATTAATTAATTTTCAATCGCGCGTCTTCGAAGTGTTGGAAAGTATCAAGAACGCATAACCAAAGTTAGTGGCACGTTTCTTCCATCCTTCTCTCTCGCGATGTTGCTCTCTTTTTTCTTCGTGACGTCACGAATACCTCCTTCTACATTCTGCTTTGCTAGTAACGAGTCAAAGCTTCCAGCGTCCAAACGCGAGATGGCGTTGATTCTAAATATCTTCAACTCGACGAGCAAAATTATATTCCATGCACGTACCTCGACAAAAGTTTGTGAAAACAAAGAAAGAAACGCGATAGACGTGTAATAATTATAATATTAAAAATTCCCGTTTAAGCGGGAATATATGATAATGATTGCATAAACAGAGAGAATGAAAAAAGAATCCGAGAAATAAATTATATGTATTATGTACGTATAATATGTGAGTACACGTATCAACATATATCACGTATCACGTTATTTTTTTTTAGGTTATTTTATAAACGTAAAAACAATTAAAACTAATTTTCGATTACGAAGAAATATATTTTTTTTTCACAGTAATTATCCAGTCATTCTTATTTGAAAACCATTTTTCGCGTTGAGGAAAAACTTTTGATATATCGAAGACTAATTTTAACGGAATGGAATGATACGTGTCGATCATATTTAATTAATCGAAAAGTAGATAGGTAGGTAGGTAGGTAGATAAAAATTAAAAATTCGAATTATACTTGGTCCTATTCTTTTTTTCGAATAACGAAATTATTTTGTTTTAAAACAGAATTTAACGAATAAAGTCGATAAAAAAGATTATTTTTGTTCATCTTCTATTCTAAAAATAAGTATTCGTAGACGTATATTACTTATTGTAATATAACGAACAGCGCTGTGGCAATAAGAACAATGGTTTCCTTGCACTTTTTGTGCTTCTATATTCATATTTTGGCGTCTTTCGGCCAAAATTTATCGTCGATAGGTTGAAGAGATTGCTTTATACTTTCGGATTAAAGCGGATCGTGTCTTTTTAGGAAGCAAGAAGAAAAAGAAGAGGATCATCGATGGATGAAACGCGTCGATGTTGTTTAAAAATGTAGCTGATAATTTTGTCTCTTAAACGATACAAAACAACGCATTGTTGAAATTGCATACAATACAAATACAAGAATGATATCGAACGATGGAAGAATCTCTGAATCTGTTTATCGTTATTAAAACAATTCAGATATGTAAAAAAAATGACAAAGATGATCTCGAGAATAACTTGTTTTTAACAAAAAAATACTAGGTGTAGTATACTGTTATTTATAATAAGTTATTATTAAAATTTATTTGATTTTACATTACGACACAACTTTCAAAATC